CATTTTGAGAGGCACAAGAGGCTTGACTGGGGGGGGGGGCGTCATTTGCACAAACTTGATTCACTGACAAAACTTTGGATTTGACCCACCATATTTGGTCCTCGGCACCTGTTATATTGGAACAGTTGTATAGTAAAACTGCTCCCAACTGATATACTTCAGGAGTTGCTGCTTAGTATTCCAGGAGCCCAGCAGTTCCCATGTGTACATATTGCGCTGTCTACATATAAATAAACCTATTTACAATACACATGAGTCTATTTTCCATATATGCAGCAGATCGTTCACGTTCATTGTTACATCACTTGGGTTCCTGTTAGGCACGCAGGTGTGTGTGTATATGCAGCTCTTAAAAGCCAGTGGCTTTCTAAGAGGCAGATTGGATGGAGGAGAAAGAGAGACTTAGTTCACACATAACAACAAATTGGACTGCCACCATCAGAATAAACTTGGAGATCTGCAGGCTTTCGTGCCTCCTCCCTTGCCATGGGAATCGAATGCTTCTACTTCCACAACAAACTTTAGTTTGCTGTTACATTGAAACGAGAAAAACCACGGCTTGCTCCTTCATTGTAAACTAGAATTCCGTGAACCCAAAAGCAACATTCAGGCAACACTGTAGGATTCCACTGAAATCTATAGCAGAACCATGGTGTGTGTGTGTGTTTGTTTAAAACCTAGAACATTTCCTCCAGCATGATGATGTCCCTTCTGGGTTCACTTGCCATCAGTGATTTGAATCTCCCTGCCCCCTTGAGCCTTCCTCTAGTTGCCAACCCTTGGGTGACAGCCCTCATTGGGGGGGGGGACCCTTTTGCCTGTGATCCTGGGAACTGCTGCCAATTGAAGCCGACTCTACAGAGCTTGATGGGGCAAAGTCTGACCTAATGTAAGGCTGCTTCAGATTTCCAAGCATATGCAAAAAGAAAGCAGTGGAAGGAAAAGAGCAAGTGAATTAAATGTAAGTGATAATTCTGAAGAATGGGGGAACAGAGGAAGAGGCTATAGTAGGCAGGTTCTATGAACAGTGGCACAGAGTAGGGTTGCCAGTTATGGGGGGGGGAGTACCTGGAGTTTTGTGGGACGGGGCCTTAGGAGGGCAGGGTTTGGGGAGGGACCTCAGCAGGGTGCCATGCCCTAGCGTCCACCCTCCAAAGCAGCCATTTTCTCCAGGGGAACTGATTTGTCATCGAGATCAGTTGTAATAGCGGAAAATCTCCAGGCCTCACCTGGAGGTTGAAAATCCTAGCACTTGGGGAGGGGGCAATTCTTGTTCTTCTTCAGTAACCCGAGTCTTCAGGTGCTGCAGGTGAGAAGGCACCAGGAGCATTGTGTATTTGTGAAGCGATGGGTCTTTATAATAGTTGTGGCATCTTTAAAACAAACACATTCTTTATGATATATGAACTTCATGAGAAATATCTAATGAAAATGAAGGTAGCGTCTACTGGAGAAATGTCTTCTGTCCACCTGAATTACCATGACATTGGCCACAGCTTAGCACAATGTAACATGCCTTCTATGAATCACTGGTGCATCTTTATGTAATCCTTGTGCCAGAAACAAGGGCCATGTTCAGGGTTTCAGAGCATTATTTGTAACTAAATCTCATTGTAACTTATTTGTAACTAGATCTGCGTGCCTTGCTTTTAATCAATGGCTCTTGGACGTTTAAATATGCACCTTAGTTTCATTCATGATTTCAAACTGACAAGCACACTGTTTACTTGGAATGAGTCCTAATGTATTTAATGCTACTTGCTTATGAAAAAGGCATGTGTAAGAGTACAGCCTTCACTGCAGCTAACTTTAGCTGTGTTCTATCTAGAATTGCCCTTTCCAGTACTATTGATAACAGCGTGAGAATCAGCCCAAAATTACTACTATAAAAATAGCTGACTTAGCTATGTGTCATTGTGGTTGCCTTTGGGTTTGTCAGCATGACATAAAAAAAGTGAATGCAATCTAAAAATGTTGTTGTTGCATCATACTTGGCTATTGCAACCTGGACATTATAAAATTAACTACTATGGTACATGCCCTCCTTTCACGTGGGAAATCTCCATGAAGTTTCCTGGCTTCTGCTACTGCCTTTCCCATATGCAGACATTCCTGTGTTACAATTAAAAACATCAAGGGCAACTAAACATGCAGGTAAGTCAGCCCTACCACCTAACCTAGGCTGTCCTGTATCATCATCATCATCATCAATGCATTTTAAATCATAAGTGTTTGCAGTTCCTACAGCCCTGTGGCTGTTGGCAGATGATGCTGTATGATGTAGATGAGGGTGCAGGGCCCCCCTCCCGATACCATGTGGTGTGCGGTCTCCTCACAGAAAGGCAGATAGGTAGGGGTCCAATCTGTATGATCTTCCCTTTTGCCTGAAGGAGAATAATAGTGTCACCTGTTCTGAGACTCAGTATGGAAGGTCCATGTCATGCATGTTTACAGACCTGGTGGAGGTGAGAACTCCATATTGCCTTCTCCAGTTGGCTACATAAGCATTAGAACCATCCTGTAGTACCTGGGACTGGGGCGCTGAATGCTAGTGGAAGCAACACAGTAAAGTTCATCAGCGTGCATGAAAGGGGAAGTAGAGAGAGATGAGAGATCAGGCTTAGTCTATAAAGGGAACAGAATGAGGTAGAATCCTAAGGCGGGAGGACTGCGCTACTTTATCCAGAAGGCAGGGAAGGCAAATTTTGAATGTTGTGTCCTTGTAGAAAACAAAATCTATCACAGCAGTGCTAGACTTCTCCCTGCTATGTTAGACCTATAGGTAGGTTTGGGGTGGGTGAAGGGAACCTTAAGAAAAATCTAATGTGAAGTGGTCCAGTCCATCAGGGTCCCACCTGATGTAGTCCATCAGTCCATCAGGGTCTGATGTAGAACAGGCTTTGGAACACATGAGGAAGGGGCTATGCAGGTCAAATCTGATCCTTGGGCTGCCTGCTGAGGACTACTGAGATTCAATGACTACAGAATGGCCTTTTGCACCAGGTCTTTTAAAGGGAAAACTGCCCCATTGATCACAAAGTGATTAATTACAGAGGCTAGCATTGGCCCCTAGCACCGGGATGTTTCATATTACGCATTATGACAGAGCCTCTGATCATGTGCTGAGTGTTCTGTCTTCAGACTTTCCATATTATTTCTGGATCCCCTGGTATCTGGGCTGAAGTCTTCCTCCCAAACATGTCTTTCTAAAGTATGCACTTTGCATGGATGAAGAAGAAAATTTAGAAAATATCCGTGCTAAGCTCAAACGAATCAACTTCAACACATTGTGTTCCACAGAGGAATGAGATGGGCACTGGGTGAGTCAGACGCAGACTACCATTTAGATGACTGCTACCATCGTAATTGTTGCCTGGGTCTCAGAAAGGTCACGAGTCTTTAATCCGTACATTCCCCTCATCCCTACCCTGAAACAAATATTTTCATTTAACAAGCTGTTTGCTTGGCTGAATGAATCACACCAGGAAGATCTGCATGATGATTGCTACTTGCTAACCAGAGTGTACTTTAGACCCAGGACTGTCAATCAACAAAATCCCCTTTGAAATTGCAGAGAACCCACTTCACAGCAAATCAAAAGAACGGGCTGGAACCAAGAGGCCTTGGGAGTGTGAAGCATCTGGATGCGGTGTAAATATTTAGACTTTGCTGAAGCCCTATTTTTGGTTTTGTAGAAAACTGTCATGTATAATTACTATCTCTGCTTCATAAGGGGTATACTCCAGCCTTTCCTGTACACAGAGTGCAGAAGGAATCCTCGGAGAACAAAACAGAAATTGAAGTATACTGAGATTATAAGAAAATCCCAGATGGGTCAGACCAATGATCCATCTAGTCCAGCTACCATCGTAATTGTTGCCTGGGTCTCAGAAAGGTCACGAGTCTTTAATCCGTACATTCCCCTCATCCCTACCCTGAAACAAATATTTTCATTTAACAAGCTGTTTGCTTGGCTGAATGAATCACACCAGGAAGATCTGCATGATGATTGCTACTTGCTAACCAGAGTGTACTTTAGACCCAGGACTGTCAATCAACAAAATCCCCTTTGAAATTGCAGAGAACCCACTT